AACCAAAGTCAACAGAACCATATGACCAAGTTCTCTAAATACACTGAGTTGGTAAGGTCTGCCCAGCACCTAGAAATGAGGTGAATGGGCTGGTGGGCTTTTCAATAGGACAGGCTATGCATAGCCTTCCCTCTCAAAAACTCATCTCTGTATAACCAAGTGAGAGAGTGCTCAACAATTTCTTAAGAAACATCAGTGGCTTCAAAATGATTACAGAGTGTAAGGAATGCCCCTTAAGTCAGACAAATGATTCACATTACCTAGAACTTTCTCCTTTTGTTCTTTTCATCCCCTCCTGCTAAAGCTCCAGCCTCAGGATCAAGCCTAGAGCCTTGCCCATGAGATTAGGAAAGGAAAACTCTGAAGTCATGTATTCCAGGATATCTGCAAACATTTCAGCTTTTGCAGTAGTGAAATTGGTGGGATCTGCTCTCCTGCTCTGCCTTCTGCGAGTCAATAGAAGGCTCTTGCTTGGATTTCTCTCTCTCTCTCTCTCTCTCCTCCGTCTCTCTCATTAATAAAAACAACTTGTGATATAGCTCACAGGTAAGGTGCTTGCTGACAAGCCTGATGACCTGGTTCAATCCCTGAGACCTACTTGGTGAAAGTAGAGTGAGAACTCACTCCTAAAAGTTGTCCCATGATCTGCACCTATGTGCCTTGGTACCTACAACCTTTCATCATAAAAAGAAACACATTTTTTTTTTCTCAAAAGCATTTTAACATGCTTTCTTGCCTTGGATTTACCTGTCAACATATTTTCTTTGAGGTCAAGTTTATAGTGCTTGTGGTCTTGAATATGAGTTCTACTCTTCTTCACGTGGTGATACAGAAGGGGAGTCTGGGGAGGCCAGCTTAACCCCGCCCATGCCTCTGTTTCCTACACAGTCATATCCATGTAGTGAGAACTTTCTTTTTCAGTTGGATGACATAAAGTCAGTTGCCTCCCTGATGTTTGCTCAGTCACTCTGAATCTTCACTTATCTAAGGAAGAGAGAGGTAAGGGGTATAAACCAGTGGTATAACTGAAAAGATTTTTGTAATCATGGTCAGAAGACAACGGTACTGTTATCAGGACTGGGCATATCAGGCCAGTGGTTATTATACAAGCTGAGCCACAAATTATTGAGCGTGTGACCATGATAATATTTATAGCACTTTTTGTTCTTTTCACAGGACTCAAAGTTTTACTGTGTTTGTAACAGTGATGAACAAATAGACAACATGGGTAATGACTTTCATTTTTTTGAATGGAGAAGAAAAGCAAACAACAACAAACATTATCATACTTTGCAGCCCTGACTGGCCTGGAATTTACCAGGCTGGCTTCTGACTTGTAATTATCTTCCTGCCTCTGTCTCCCAAATGCTGGAGTGACAGGTACCTCTTGTCATTCCAAGGTGTGCTAATGCCTGCTTATAACAGACAAAAAACATTTAAAAAAGAAAAAGACAGACTTGGGATTTTAAAGATTTTTTAATATCTATGTATGTCAGTGTGTCTGAGTGTGGTACCTTCAGTGGCCAGAAGGTATCAGATCATGTGGAGCCAGAGCCACACCACAGATGGTTCTACATAGCTTAATGTGGGTGTTGGGAAGCAAACTCCAGCCCTGTGCAAAGGCAGTGTAAGCTTTTAATTGCCCTACTGTCTCTCCAGCCCTAGTTTAGGGTTTTAATGAAGTGATTCAATCCCATCTGTAGCCTGGGACTATCAAGGGCACTGGAAGTTTGCAGAGCAGAAAATCTTAGCTTGTAAATATAGATCAAAACACCAAACAAGCTTTGCTACAATGTTGCAGATGTTGGTTGCAGTGATTCTTGATCACAAAGAAATATCTAGACTACATTAACAAAATAAACACATAGTGTGCATTAAGTAAAGAGACACCTAGAATACACCAAGTAAAGTTCCAACACACATAGCACATCCTCAGTTTTATAGATGGAGAGGAATGGACTGGGAACCCTCCATTACGTTCAGGGATGCAATCACTAGCCAATCCTGGGCTTTGTTTTCATTTTCTCTGACAGTTTTGTGTCCTCTGGTAACCTCTCTGCCATTCTCTTCTCCAGCGTTTCCATCTGCATGGGGGCTTTTGGAAGTAAATTAAAGGTGTATGCTGTGCCTGATCACTCAAAACAAGTACATACAAAATATGTGTAACGAATAAGTTCTTAGTTAATCCTTGTGAATGATGACTTTTATATTTTTATGCTTTACAACTTTCAAGCTATTAGCATTAAAAAATACTGTTTTTGTAAAATTAGTCTGTCTAAAGGGTAATGTAATGAAGTGATGGTAGAATAATTACTACCAGTAAAAAGCTTGTCTGTTGGGGAGGGATTTCAAGGATGTCATGCTTTAACTTGGTTAGAGATGAGACTACCAAGCCCCCAGATGTTCTGCTTCACTGAAAACTGGGTCTGGAATCCAGGTCTCCAGACTACTATGTAAGGATAGATGCAGGAGTCAGAAGCGTGGAGCCTCGCATTTGTGACTGTACATAGAGCTCATGTGTACTGAGGGGGGCGAAGAAGAAACGGGCTATGAAAACTGGAATCAATTTAAGTATCTCCAAGGATTCAGTTTGGGTCTTGTAAGGCAGAGACTGAAATGCAGAAGCTGGTGAAAGAAGTACTTGTTGATTGTGTGTTTTCCCTTCCTTTGTTTGTTTAGAGGCAGGCTCTCACCGCCTCCCATAGGTGGAGGAGTGTCTCTAACTCACTGTCCTTATACCTTTGCCATTAAAATTCTGAGATTACAGCCATGCAGCACTCTGTCTGGCTGAGAATAGGTCTGATGAAATGAAGAACACAAATTTGGTTGTGACTCTTCTCAGGTTTGCAAAAGACTCAAGTGAGTTTGGGCTATGGGGATTTTATAATCTATACCTAGGGCAGGGGCAGGAAAAGGAAACGACTTTGTGGGTTTCATGGAATCAAAATATGTAGTCAGACAAACAAACTTTTCCGTGCTCAAAGAACAGACGAAAATGACAAATAGTCAAGGGTTGCCCTGAAAGGGCTCCAGCTGCAATTTTAAAAAGAAACAGAAAGTGCCATAGAAGAGTGAGACCATCTCAGTAAAGTGCCCAGGCTTCCCTTAACTCAGCTGTGGACAGTTTGAATTCAAATGGGGATGGCAATGGGATCTATATCTATATCTATATCTATATCTATATCTATATCTATATCTATATCTATCTGTATCATATATATATATATATCTATATCATATCTATATATATATATCTTAATGAATCCTGTGATTTTGAACAAATAACACATGCTAATAATTTTTTTTTCAAAATGGGCTGGGGTGTGCCTCACTTGGTAGAGTGCTTGCTTAGCATGCACACAGCAACGGATTTGATCCCTAGCATGACATAAACTAGGTGTGGTTGAGCACTAAGAAAGTGGAGACAGGAAGACCAGAAGTTCATCTACTACATATTGAGTTTGAGGCCAGTCTAGGGGTACATGAGACCGTGTCCCAAAATTTATGTTAAAGGAAATGAAGAAATTTAGGGAAGAGACCAGAAGACATCAAGTCAGACAGGAAACAAGATGTCTTTGGGGGGTTTTACTAGGAAGACATTACCAGTGACTTTAAAAGTAGTTTCTGAGATATGACAGTGCATCAGTTGGAATCTTTAGTCAAGACACCAGCCTGGGCATTGAGAGGAGTATTTGATGATAGCTGTGGAAGATGGCAGAGAAGGCTCATGGCTTAGTCAAGATAAAGGACTCTATGAATATTTAAAAGCAGAAAGGAAGAGATGAAAGCTTTGGGAAGGTAGAGGAGAAACCTGGCCAAGGATGCTGAGAAGGTAACGGGGAAGAGATGGGGAAAAGCAAGAATTACTAGCATTAATCTCCTGTGATTCTTGAACAATGTGTGGGATTTGAATGAAGAAATTATAGAAAACTGAGGTCTGGAATGTTTTGATCCCAGTGTAGCACTGTTTGAACCTCACCATGGTACCCACATAGAACAGAGATCATCAAATCATGGCCTGAGTCATTTTTGCTCTCTGCAGATCTCCCCTGATAAACTCCAAGCTGCAGCTCCAAGCTCTTAACGAGTGGGCCACAGTAAGTTGTATGCCCGATAAGAGCTTAACAGACACTTGCTAAATGTATGAATGAATGAGTCAGTCATCTTTTCCCCTAGGAAAGAAAACTGACTAGAACTCAGGATTTGCTTTTGTGTTCTGAAAGTAAGGCATCATAGCAAGAACATCATTTCTCCCAACACCATGTAGTCGGGGACCTTTGATTTTTCAGGAGAGTATGCCTAAGATCAAACAGACAAACAACACTGCACATCCCCCTACCCTTCTCACAGTCTGATGTAAGTCTTTAAAGCCCAGAGAAGAATGTCCCGGATATAAAATAAGAACAAATTAGAAGATAGGATAGTATTCAGAAAACTTCCTGTGCTGACAACGACAGCCTTTACTTCCTGATCTGTGGAATGGGGATAAGGGTAAAAAGTGCTATTATGCTCACAGACACAAATTGTTCACTGTGGACTCGGACATCTGCATTGCTAACTATGAACATTTTCTTCCTCCAGAAGTTTCATTTCCAAGTAGGTAAAAACAAAGTTTCACTGTACTCTAATGAGGTTATTGAGTAGCCTTATGATGTTGTGGCTTTGCCACCCAAGACCCTACTACGCCTCTGAAGCTTTTAGTGCCAGTATCTGGGTGGTCCAGGGTAGACGTGAACTCTAAAGCACTGGCTGATGGGCTGAATTAATCCTGCTTAAATTAATAATTAAGAAGCCTCGCTGCCATGGTTTCCCTTTCCTCTTCATAACAGCTTTGTGAGATGGGTATTAGCACTTTCAGCAGGTGAGACACCTAAGGCCCAGGGTTCAGTCATTTATCCTTGCCTAGGAACTTCAACTCAAATCTCAGATAACCCATCCTTATCATTTTGATTATTTTCCCCGGTTCTGACTTTGCTTTCGCTGTCTCTTCCTCTCACTAGGAAAGGAGAAGAAGCCCTTGGCAGAATGGCATTTCATTGTGTTTCCAGCAACCGCCTGCTTCATCTTGTTAATTTTCTCACTCATCTGCAGAGTGTAGGTATTCCTTACATTCAGGGGCTGACTTTGCAGTCTGCTGTGCACACTGCTTATTATCAGGTGCAATTTAGAGCATACTGTTTCCAGCTAAAATAAAACATGGCATACACAGCATACAGGAGCTAGACAGGACAGCACAGTCCTCGGTCACCACACACCCTCAAATTAGTTGATGATATTTTAATATTTATAGAGGTTTTTGCCACTGTATTCTTTTCCTTCACAGCTTTCCCTTCCATACTTGCTTGTCTTTTGACATCTCCTATAAAAAGGCAGCAAGTCCATCCAAGTCTGAAGTCAACACACTGCCTTCACATATGGGTCTTAGTGGTCACTGGTTGACCTCTACCTGGCTTTCAGGTTACCAGTCCAGAGTGACTGTCTTTACATCAAATGCAGATTCGCAAAAGCCTGCACAGATATCCTATCCCGCCTTGCAAAAAGGCTGCATTTCCCCCTTCACCCACCTCTCTTTTTCCCTCTCAATTGCTAAGGCAAAGTTCCTTTTTAGCCCTAAAAATCTTAGGGAATAACTTCTGTGTTAAAGGCTATTATTCATTAACTGTTATATTTAGATGCCTGCGGGTGATGGGCAGCAGTTCAAAGGAAAGGGAAAGATGAGAAGGAACTGTGATTTTGGCATAGTTGAAGGAGGAAAGCTAGAATGAACAGTGAACAAGAAACCAAACAAAGGATGCTGCTAGCGACCCATCTTCAGAAGTCAGGCCTGGCAATAAGCCCAATGTGAAACAGTTAAGACTTCCTCTTTGCTGGAGATCTCAGAAGCCACATCCCAGCCTGGCAGCCCTTCAAGGTTTTCAATGATGAAGATGTTTAACCATCTTAACCAACATAGTTACACATGGAACTTACTCGGTTAATGTAGGAGTAGAAATTCAGGCCAGAGGACTGTTTATACTCATTCAGTTCCTCCCCTGTTTTCAGGTGTCGCATATGGATCAAGTTATTCCCACCAGTTCCAGCCCCTAAGAGCAACATCAAAGATCTCCTTGTGGTGACTGATTCTGAGGTAATGTTTAAAGACACAAAGAGGTGCTATTCCAAGTGCTCTGGAATGAACCTCAAGCTCTCTCTGTATGTCTGTGTATACATGTACCAGGCAATACCGATATGTATATCTCTCTCCCTCTGCTCTCCTCCCGCTTTGTGTGTGTGTGTGTGTGTGTGTGTGTGTGTGTGTGTGTGTGTGTGTGGCGCGCGCGCGCATTTGTAGATGTTAGTATTGTGTCTACATTTAGTGAACTTCTTAATCAATCATAAGGGCTCTTGCCAGTTAAACTTGAATTTCCATTTCATGCCCATCATCTTTTACCTGATCTCTGATAATTCCTCCAACAACAGAAATCTTAAGCTCCTTTTTTGGTACATAAGAGACATAGATTAGATCCTGACAAAACAATATCATCACAATTGCTATAGCTTTGTTATAAAACTTGACATGATGTAGGCTGAGGTCTCTCAGAATGATTTTCCCTCAATACACTTTAGTTAAATCTGGAATTATTACATACAGTTTAAAGCCCACCTGCCACTTCCCATAAGGGAGAAAAAGAGTGGTGGGAGGGGATGGGGGAAGATAGACAGCTGGATTTTTTTTTCCTTTTTAGACAAGTTATCACTGGGTAGCTCTGGCTTGGCTAAAACTTGCTATGTAGACCAAGCTGGCCCTAGACTCATAGATCCACTTGACTGAATTAAAGGCAGGAAGCTGGAAGTCTGTGGTAAATTTAGAGTCTGTGGTTAAGTCAGAGGAAAAACAACATCTTAATACTATTTTCAGAATCGCCACACATCAAGGTCTTCCTTAGTTTCTTTCAGCAACATTTCAAGATTTTCTGTGTATAGTTATTGCATTTGATTGTTCATATCTTTCAGTCAAGTGGCTATTGAAATCTTGGGCAGCAAACTCTTCCTATAAAGACATAATAAACATTTAAGGTAGAATTGTTTGTTATGAGGAGTGTGTCCATATAATGTGTGCTAATGAATACAAAAAGAGGTAATAAGCCAGACTGGGCTTTATTCACTGACCTCCAGTTTAGATCAATGATTTTTTTTTTTTTTAACAGACTTAGAAGTTTCTTCAGCAGATGTGGATGAAGCATCTCATGGCCAGTTATAGGAAAAAATGGGCTGATGAAAATTCATCAAAATGGTTAATTTCAGTAAGCCCCAAATTTTCTTTAGATTACTTTGGGATGCTTTATAGGCAATATGATTCTAAACTACGGAAGTAAAGAATTGTGGTGGGCCAGAGAGTCATGATACCCTGTATTTGTTCCTTGTATTCTTCATTGAGGGAACAGCCCACCCACGCTGGTGTATCTATAGCTCTTCAGAAAGGAGCAGGTCCTGTGTGGATCTGCTTCTGTTCTTCTGAATGTGCACTGTTCATTCCTCTTTGTTGTAGCTGAGGGATATACACTAAAGTTAAACTTGACGCTTCAGTCATTTGTCCTGTTCTCTTAATAGAACATTTGAAGGCTGGTATCTAATTTCCCTATAGAGCCTGGAAGGATTCTGTTAATATTCTGAGGTTGGTGGATGAAACTGGCTTAAGAGCTTACTTTCTGAGCTTCTGGTTTGTATTAATTAAAGTCAAGTCATGTGTGTAGAATAATGACTTGGGATAGACAGGCTGCTTTCAGAGTATGCAAAGGATTAATGTCAGCATTGCCTGGCTTCTCAGGATAACTTACTCTGTGTCCCCATTACAGAGTTTTACATGAAAGATTGTGGGAAAGAGAGAGGAGGTGAGACAGGCACTGAGAAGTAGGGACTGAAACATGTAGTTGTGTATGGTGTTACCAGTATTCTGGCCTAAGGTTTTAACCTAAGATGGCATGTGAGCAAGTAGAGAGCTGACCACAGCTGGGCGACATGCAGCGGTGCATTCCAGCCATGCATTCTACCCACGGTGATACTGATTCAAGAAAATAAGGTCCATTAGTACTATGGGCACCATGCCCCTTGGGAAGTACCTGACTAGTGGAAAATGAAGCTTTCTGCTTTGACAGCTGCTCCTTCCCTGTGAGGGTAATGTGTCAAGACCCATTGTAGATGTTGAAAGCTGTAATATTTAAGCCCTGATGCACAGTGGTACAATATTTGCTCAGACTCTACACATTCTGCACCACAGTATAAATCCTCTTAAAATCACTTCAAATCAGCACATTGCAAATGCTGTATGGGTGGCTATTACACTGCATAGTTTGAACAATAACATCATGAACACTCGTTTGAACACACAGAGGCAAAGCAATGGATCTCGGGGCTCACTGTGACTTGCACCTCCATACTTGGTAGGAATGCTCAAAGGCATTGGGGCTTGGAAGCCTGCAGTCATCCTGGGAATGTTGCTAGGCAAGTTTTTGTTTCTTCAGACTTCAGCTGAGAGATTATTTTACAACACTCAATAGACAGTTAACATTTTGGTTTTTTGTTTAGATTTCACTCTGAGTTTTCAAACTTATTAGAGATGAGTTTCAAGTTGACTTTTTTCCAGTGGTAACCAGAGAGAATTCTTCTCTTCATTATGCCCACTGTAAACAATATAAAGTATGTCATTCAGGAAGCATGTCTGCTGTGTTTCTCAGATGACATCCAATATATATAACACCACATCTAGAGTGGATGGATGTTAAAAATATGCTGGATGAGTACATGGGGAAAAATAAGTGATATTTTTAACAGTTTCTAATTATTATTAGCTTTTTTAATGTGTTATATCCAAAATTAGATTAAAAATAAATGCTCGAATTTACTAGAATCTTTTCATTTCTCGAGATAGGGTCCCATGTAGCACAGGGTGGCCTCAAAGTGAATATGTAATTAAGTATTACCTTGAATTTCTGATCTGTCTTCACCTCCTAAGTGCTGAGATTATAGACAACAACCCCCACACTGGCTTTATTTAGTGCTGAGAATCCAAGTCAGGGCTTTGTACATGCTAGGCAAGAACTCTACCAACTGAACTACATATTTAGCCTCAAATTTATATTATTGCAATTGGTGAGTGGAATATGATAGAAATATTAAAATGGATTACATCCAAGTGGGAGTGTATTTCCCGAGGAGAATATCAGCCTAACATGTACAAGGATTTGGGTTCAGAACAAAACCATGACCCCCAAAATACAAAATATACTTAAAATATTATATGACATTTTAAAGAAAATAATTCATACACTTATGCAATGGCTAGAGGGACATATCTCATTGGCAGAACATCAATAGTAGTAGTAGTAGTAATATGTTTTATAAAGGTGAAGCTGTGTGTCCCTGTTACTTCATCATGAATGTAAAGAACACCTTATGTGTTGAAAGGAGCTGAGGAAAAGCAGTAGGATATATTTGTAAGATAAGTCCATGGATAGTTTTTCTCATTCCCATTTAAGTTTTCTTATTTGCTAAGGATACTAGTGTTATATAAAAGTTACTTCAAACCAATTTTTAAAAACAAACAAAAACCATCAAAGAGATGAGATGTTCTCTAAAAGACATGTAAGGAAGATACTTTGTTTTGCAGAATGCTGCTTGGAATGAAACCAAAATTGAAGTTGTAAGTTGTGTGGAAGAAGCTGGATTTGAAGTCATGGAAAATTCCGTGTTTTGATGGCATTGCAACATTCTGAATAGAATTTATACAGGACTCCATTATAAAAGCAAGGACTGATATTTCTTGGCAAGAAAGGACTGCAAATGGATAACATTCAATTTGGTTGCGAGGCAATACATCCAAACACACGAGTCTCCAATGTCCCATCTCTTAACAGGGGACAAACCTCATCAAAGTCCCCTTGTTGACAGCAGGAAAATGGGTCCATCTGAATACAGGCCTTGTTTTCCCACCCACAGTGCACAAAGTATCACCCGGCCTGGTTATACAGGCCAGTCTTTACAACTTGCATGACTTACCTTGAACGCTTTGCACAGGAGACAGTTTTTCAAGCTAATGTCACACATTTACTTTGGTTAGAGCTGCCTATGGTAGCACTTTGAACTACAGTGACAGAAAGAAAGAGTGGAACCCATCCAGAGTGAACATAAATTCAAGACTGTCTTTCCCACAGCAAGTGGGAGCCATAATTTCATGGTGCTCCTTCTCTTCTGAGTTCTAGAATACTTTTCTTTCAAGAACTGTGCATGTGTGATGTGGTGTGGGATGATGATATGATGTTGAAGTAGAAACGAAGAATATGTTTGGTTCTATATATACCTGTCCTGGGAAGCATCTATGACAAACTACCCGAGAATGTGTACTAAGACATCATGCCTGGGGCTGAGGAGATGGTGAAGAAGCATAAGGACCTGAGACTGGTCAGCCAGCACCAAGGAAAGAGCAACAAAACAGTGCAAAGCAGCATGTGTGCATAATCCTAGTTCTGCGAAACATAGAAGCTCCATGGGAAATGCTGGCCAGTCAGTTTAGCAATTAGGTGGTTTCTACGTTCAGTGATTGATACAGTCTCAAAAATGTAAGGTAGAAAGTGACTGGGGAGTACCCCTGACACTGACCTCTGGCCTGCATACACATCTACACACATGAACACAGACACACACACACAGAGACACACACACACATGCATACACAGACATGCACACATGCTAGAAATATCACCCCCTCTTAAGAGAGAAGACAGGAAGGAACTTGTTTAAGGGTCACATTCTTTAAGGACTCCTTGGTACTATGGAAATAAACTCAGAGAGACAGTGATCATAATTCTGCTGTGGAGGTGATTGCTGGATCTAGAAAGTACTTTCTGAAGTGATGCTTGATGTAAGAGCCTTCATGGCAACTTGCTGGTCAACTAGTTCTTGCTCAACCCTATTATCTTAAGTTAGGGTTTCCTATAAGCCATATCAATACACATTACACTGCTATAGAGATGTTTGCATTCAATGTCTTCAAATAGAGGCTATATGTATAGGTCTTTGTGTTGAGCAATGGGCTGAAAGTAGAAGCAAGGACAACTATACTCTAGGAGGAGGAATAATTAGTAGTAGAAGGCAACCTAATGGTGTTGGCTTTATATATTCCTGGGACAAGGAGCTTGAGACAATGGAAGGAGATGATGATGCTTAAAATCTACATTATGGCGCACTTTTACATACTTTATGGAGCTGATTTAGTCAATTTTAATACTCTGGGTGAGGAGTATAAAGAGTACCAAATACCTCTTATATGGCTTTTCTGATTTAGGACGTAACCATCCACCATTCTGTGCTCAGAATGGAAGGTAGAGCAGTCATGGACATCTGCCAATATTGGATCTTCTCCGAAGGTCAGAGTACTATAGTAGATTTCTTCACTGTCTCTCTGGTCTTAATTCTGCATTGTGTCACAGTCATATATATTACAGTTCCCATGTTAAAGATGCAGTACTTGGGGATGAGAGAGGTCACTAGCCAGGAAAGGGCACAATAATGCGCTGAATATCAGACTCAGCAGACATCAGTAACACAGAGGAGAGTAGCACATAAAAGCTGATGTGGGAGCTAGAGAGATGGCTCAGTGGTTAGGAGCACTTGTGTGCTCTTCCAGAGGTCCCAATGTTCAATTCCCAGCAACCACATGGTGACTCACAGTTATGTGTAATCAGATCAGATTCCTTTTGTTGTGCATGAAGACAGAGCACTAACATATATAAAATGCATGAGTAAGTAAATAAATAGAAAGGAAAGCTGAAGTTTGCTTTACAGCTCAGACCAGGAGGTTGAGGCCCATGAGAGTGTTGGTATAGTGGGAAAAATGTTTATTTGATAACTAACTGACCAACAATCTATGAAAAATGGCTCTAAAGAATCTCTATAATAGGCACTGGTCTTGGGTGGACAGTCAAGAGTTTGCATGGTCAGCAATTGTCAAGAACATTTAATGCTGATGGTCTGCATACCACACTTCGATAAATTATTATGAACATCACAATTTCAAAGCTACCCAATTAAAGAATAATGGATGGAAACAACCAAGTGCAAGAATTCTCTTCCTCTCATCTTGCAAGGGCAGCCTAGAAGTACCATTTTGGAAACTTACCTCTACCTAGAAGGCTCTACCAAAACGGGGGGGTGCCATCATATAAGGGCAGTTGTTCATTTTGCATGTGTAGGTCTCATTTTAGGGTGGATTCCCTAGACCTAGCAGCTGGCAATCCTCTGGGTTTCACGGATCTTCTGCCTCCCATCCCTAGGCTGGCGCTAGCATCTAATCTTGGTTCATGTATAAGGAGCACAAAGTAGTTCATGTAGCCCTACCAGTATGGTGTAGATTTAACTCTCCTTGATGCAATCATTCTTTGGGAATCCATAGCCAACATTATCCTTTCCATGAAGGCTTCTATAACAGTTGGTAGATCATGCCTCTGGAGTCTCATTGTGAGCCTAAGGTATTGGAAGATGTACCAAACAGTTTAGCTGCCTCCTTGTTTGACCATATGCCCCAGGAGCACTAGCCTTCTGCATGCAAGATGCATCTTTTTATTTGCAGCATCTAGAACAGTACCTAACCATTAAGAATTACACATGGTCCCCGGGCTGGGGAGATGATCCAGAGGTTAAGAGCACTGGTGGCCCCTCCAGAAAATCTGGGTTTGATTTTCAGCACTCACAAGGTGGCTGGCTCACAACCATCTAAAACTTTCCCAGGGGGATCTGACCTCACTTGTAGCTTCTGTGGGCACTAGCATGTAAGTGGTACACAGACACATGTTGCAAAAACACTCATGACATTAAACACACACACACACATATCTCAAGACCTACAATTCAATAAAATGAAAGACTGGTATCCAATAGGAATGCAATTGGAAGTAGCCAGGAGACACCTGTGGTTGATGGAAGCTGAGGTCACAGTACTGAATCCCACCAGCACAGGACAGGAACCCACTCCCTAGATCTTTCACATCCACCATATTGATAAACACAGGCTCTCTAAGACAGCCTTTACAACAAAGAGTTTATTCCAACCCCTCTCCTTTGTTCTTGGAATTCACAGTGAGTGATTTAAGGGGAGTTTGAGGAGACTTGGGGATGAAGCTTGTGTATGCAACAGCCAGAGCACCTGTGTCTCATTGATATGCCTCAGGCCTCAAGCCACTTATGCCTGCTGGGGAAGAAGCCACTTGGGCAAAGAACATTCTGATTAAAAATCCAACCATTTTCGAGGTGAGACTTGTATGTGTCCGGACCATCTGCTGTTGGAATTCATAAACTGTAGGTGCTAATTTGTTAAAGAAAAAACAGACTGCTGGTGAGAATGGAGAACTATAAACAACCTTTGATGGCTGGGGAAAGATGAGGAGCCTAACTGAAACAGGACATAGTGTCACCCTTAGGATCTTTGTGACAAAAGCTATGGAGCTTTCATGTCCCACACATGGAGTTCCAGAATACAAACTTTTTCAAAAACATTTTCTTTAGAATTTCAAATTGAGTGAAATGACAATTTCTTCCTTCAGCTTTATCCTGTGTTGGCGAGTAGCTATGAATGTAAATGTGGTCCAAGATGGGAAGCCTTTGATAATGACATTGATTTATTTACGTCTACAAACTCAAGAGAGGTCTATTTTTAATTCCACCTTAAATCTCCCCTCCCCCCTTCTCTGTTCCCACTACCTGATTTGCAGGAGCCTCTGAACTGAATTCCTGACCGCCAGGATTTCCCTTCTCTTCAAGGCATATCTTCCTCTATCACTCTGTCCAAAAACCTAAAGGATGCCCAACTAAATCAAAGTTCATCATATCAAGAGCAGTTTCCCCGGCATCTCTGTAGTGTTCCAGTGAAATTGTGCAAAAATCTAACTCTAGTCTGGTCTGTAAGCATCAAGCTGTCTTTCGCTTCTCCTCATGCAGAGGCCTTCTGGTTCTTTTTTCCTTCTTGTCAACCCTGAATCTTCTAAGATTTAGCCCTTTGCCACATCAAAGTCTCCAATTCCTCATCTGATTGACATGGCTCTGCATGTTTGCCTTCTGTGTAATTCTTACACCATTCAACTGTTTGTTTCTTATTTGTTGTGTAAATACCCTGAGGTCAAGAGCAGTTCCTTATTTATGTTATTTACATAGGCCCTCAGTAGGAATGTAGTGGCTGCTGAGATGAGCAAAACTAAAGAGACAGAAATATTCAACAGTTACTTCGAACTCTAATTCAGACTCACATTAAAAGCTGTCTGATTACACCAGAAACAAAACAACCATCAAATAATGTAGTAAGAGTTCATAGTTGACATCACTCACTTGATCTGCAGATAGCCAGCTGCTGGCACCATTCCAAGTGTGCACTTGGGGTACCCAAGCTCCAGCATTAGAAGAAGCGAGCTCCTGTGCACTGGCGTCTTCCCCCAACTTTGCTAATCCTTTGGTAATTAGCATATGCATCAGGGACACGAAGTAGCCCAGGTGTGTTAAGCTGAAATTCTAATGTGCTTTTATTTTTCAACTCGAACATGTGTTATTAACTTCATCTGTTTGTTTGTTTGTTTGTTTGTTTGTTTTCAAATTAAAAGCAGATGTTGGTCCCTACCAGGTGATAAAAATGCAAGAATACGTAAATCTGGGAGGAGGGGGAGGAAGAGAGGGTGAAGAAAAACAACAAAGCCACACAGCAGTATTACAGCTCAAAGGCAGCTAACTTGGAAGCTTTCCCACTCTGAGGACCAAATGGATTGGGTTGCAGCTTCATTTCTCTGATATGACACAAGGTGTGCATGGGTAAAGCTGTGTCCTCATATCTACTTGCAGAAAATGGACCAGTGGGCTAGGTTTCATAGGTGGGCTAATATTTTACATGTACAAAGCTTAATGAACCCCAAATATGTTGCCTCAAGAGTGTGTGCGGCTCCTCTCCAGTTTG